CAAAGCCAGGTGAACAGGTCAGCTGCACGATTGGATTTCGTCCCCATATGCGACATGAATGCAACATAGTTTCCCAAGAGGCTTGTCATATGGTGCGACTAAGATACTTCGCTAAAGAAGCAGAGCTGCTAAAGTCGCATATTTAATCAAAGCAGTATTATACAAGAATAATGCAGTTATTCAGCTCAATTTAACCTCTACATTGAGTTCATTTAATATTGCTTTTTCTTAACTTTATTTCTGAAGATATGTTAACAATAATTGGATAAACTTAAGCATTGAAAAGACAATGTACACTGGTGTGCAAATCTTAAGCAACAGGTGTTCTTTTGGCCATAACTCCACAAATAATCATCTGAGACACATGAAATTCAGAAATGAGAGACAGCATTTTGTATTTAAACAATGACAAAAGAATAGTAGCGCAAAACTGAATACAATGCATACAGTATGGAATCAAACAAAAAAGGCTTTATTGAACTCATAGTATCGTTACACATGATTGTGTGCAGAAGAGGAAGAACAACAAGCAGATGTTCCTTTGTATGGGATATGCCCTCCTGTTACTGCCAATGGTTGCTTTGCACCGTCGCTTCATACCCAGCACCATATTGTCCAACAAATCATGAGGTAAGAGTGTCCATTCCTCAATCAGCGTCTGTTCAGTTGTTGGGTGTTCCCCCGGAGGATGTAATCGTGCCGCAAGGCGTCTCCCTAAAGCATCCCACACATGTTCTATGGGATTTAAATCAGAGGAGTACGGTAGCCAATCCATTCCAGTGATATCTTCAAGAAGAAGCTACTTTTCAGTAGCTTCTGAAAAACAGGAGTTCCGGTGTGGCCGTGTATTGTCAAATCCATAAAAAATGAAATCCTGCTCCAAGTGGCACCTTGGAACAGACGCACATGGGGAAGGATTACCTCCTGACAATAGCGATCTCCAGTTACAGAACCTCTGTCGAAAACGTGGAGCTCTGTCCACCCGTGCAGCATAATGCTTCTCCAGACGAGAACTCCAGGACACCGTAACGGTCTCTTTCCGTGACGTTGCTGGGATGAAACCATGTCCCGACCTCTCTCAAAATCAACTGGCGTTGAGAATCTCTTGTAGCACTAAAACGACTCTCATCCGTAAAGAGGACAAAACTCCATTGACGAGATGTCGAAGTTTGTGCTCATTGCATCACTCTAAACGGTGGCGCCGATGGCCAACTTTCAGACGGATGCAGCGTTCAAAACGGCTGATCTTCTGCAAAAGGCTACCTTCTGAGTCTGGATACGGAGACGTCTGGACACAGTTAACCTCGACACTTGTCACCCCGTTTCTGTACACACTTGTTGAGCTATGGCGCTTGCTGACTGGTTTCGGGCTTTTTTTGCCTTCAGGACGATATATCGGTCATCCACAGCAGTTGCTTTCCTGCGGCAGCAACCACCAACCTTTCTAAAAACTGTACCTATTGTTTGTAAGGCTTTCCACACTTTTATTGATTCCGAACTCTTGAGCTATACTGGTGACACTATGCTCCTCCTCCAGCTTTGCGATCATTCTTTCACGTGCGAAGTCATCTAGGTGATTTCTTCTAACCATATTTCACGAAAGAACTGATTTGTACTTGCATCGAAATTTAATTTCGTCTCCGTCCTTCCTTTTACTGTAGTCTCGAGTTGAGAGCGCCGACTACACGTGTTTTGTGTACACTCACGTCGCCTGTGACGTTTTGTTCCTGACATTTGCATACGCATGACCTTTCTACTGAATTGCGTATTCATTGTACTGATCGAAAGAACCCCTTTTCTGCAATTTTATGGCTATCTTATTAAAATTTACATTATTGCTTAAGTTTTGCACACCAGTGTATTTACAAATTTCGCATTTATCCTTTCTGAAATTAAATAAATTCATTGCAAAATAAAATATGTTCTACACAAGTATGTGAAGCAGAAATTAATTAACGCAAAAAAAAAAGAATGTGATCAATTTTAAAATGTATTTTAATCGACATTCTTATTATTTTGGTGTTTATTGAACCCTGAATGTGACAGAAATGTCAAATAAAACTGGTACACCAGACTAATACTAAGTCTTTCATATGAGAACCAACAGCAGCTAAATCCACGAATATGCAGGAATATCCTGTAAGCGTATTTCCTTCATAGCAATCCTAAATTTTGTTGCATTCAGAAGAGTAGGAACTCTGCGTTTCAAAAAATTTGCAAACCCACCAGCCGGTCCCTCCTCTTAGGCAGTTAGCCCTCGTGTGCTTTGCCACAATCAAATAAACCAAACCAAACCACAAAGCTTTGCGTGAAGTCCAAGATGTGTTTAAGGTCTGGGATTTAGTTGGTCATGTTGAGGCTCCAAACTTAGCTGAGAGTTTTTCGAACCAATAATTTGGAGTCTCCAGATTAGTGCAGCTGCGCATTGTCCTGTTAGAAACTAAGCCCATCAGAATCACAGATGTAACTCATCAGCAAGAAGATACGTGTGGCAATAACTTCCCAAAGACATTTGCAGATATATTAGGGGTCCCACTGAATGTCAGTTAGATAAACACTATTCCATTACAAAGTCAGCATAGTCTACACAGCTTCCTGTTGGCATGTCGGATCCATTGATGGATGGGGGTTTTCATATACAGATCTTTCGATCTGTCTGGAAAAAGTAGAAAACATAACTGGTCGAACAAGGTTACTCGTTTCTAGTAATCAAGTGTGCAATCTTCTTATTACCTAACCTTAGTGAGCCGCTTAGCTCTGTATGCTATGTTCATCAGATATTCTGGATGAATACGGGTTCTCAAATTCTGTTCCACAGCTCTCCTCACACATATATTTGTTGAGGTCTCCGTTGAACTCCGTTGTTTGTTAATGTAGTGGTTCATCCTTATCTCGGCCCACCAGCGGCCAAGCGGTAAAGCAGCTGAACACTGGTAGTTCGGTCCGAGGTTCGAATCCCGCGAAGGGGCTAGCTGCATGGGCGTTTTCGTGGTTTTCCCCATGTGTAAAGTGTATGCGAGCCAGTTTCCTTTAGAAAGTCTTCCATGAAGGCATCCTTCCCCTTAGGAAGATAACCCTATTGTGCTTTGCCATAATTAAATAAACCAAGCCAAATCATCCTTATCTCGTGTGATTTTATTTTTGCCAGCAGATGCTGATTCCTTCAGCTATAGTTTTTTTATGGACCACTGTGGTCAAAGTTCAACGTTCAACGTTTTTATAGACCCAGTGCATTGTTTAACGACTGTATGTGAAAAATCCAGTTTTTGTGCCTTAATGCAAAATCCTACGACTTACCTCGCAAGCTCCAACCACATTAAAAGCCTTTAAAACATGAAGCTTGTCATTCTTAGTTCCGAGACAATCCCTGAAGCTGCAACAGATATGTATCATTTTATATATGCCTTTTTGGATGTAACCAGTGACGTGCAGAGGTAGCATATATACATATGTATTTTGCACAAGTTGATAAAAATCAGCTTTTTTTAACATGTCAGTACATATTAAAATTTTGAGTTTCATTGTGTCATAATTTCCAAATAATTCAATAAATCAGAGGTGTGTTTTACAATAGGAAGCTAATTACTGAGGAACAGCGTTTATTAAGACTAACTGATAGTGGCTTCAGAAAACGAAGCACATTAGCTCTATATTAGGAGAGTTATTAGCTCTATAGTAGGAGATTATAGAGGAAATTATCTTTATTGTACACATTTTAGACCAGACTCCTCGAACTCTAATAAGCGCTATGCATATGTTTGGAAAGCTCTTCGTAAAAATTTTCGAAAGTATTGCTGGGATGTTTTCTTGTTCTTCTTGCAAGGTAGTTTAACTTTATTATACATTTTGGGGTGGCGATCTCGTTTGTAACTGCTACACGCCTGCTAGAAACATGAGAAACGTATTCGATTGGGATTAAGGCCAGAGAATATGTAGACCTAGTCATATGGGGGATATCTTTATTCATCAGTACCGGCTCATCAGCTGCCGGGCAGCAGAGTCGCTGAACCCTGGTATTTCGACCTGGGTTCGATTCCAAGCGAACGGGCTGGCTGCATGGGCGTTTTCATAATTTTTCCTGTGTGTGATGTGTATACCAGCCAGTTTCGTTGGAAGGTCCTCCATAAAAGCCTCCCTCCTCTTAGGCAGATAGCCTAATATGCTCCGCAATAACCAATTAAACCAAACCAAAACCTGTTCATAACTACCTTATTCACGCCATCTGTCATATACGGCAAACATTATCGTCAGTGTACGGGACCTACTCGAGAAGGTAGAAGACTCGAAAAAAAAAGACTCAAAATATTTAGAAGTAAGCTTTGTTCAAAACGTTTCTGCTGTGATGAACCTTGATGCAAAGTATTGGGGAGTCACGCATGATTTCTGTCCATTTTCCGATCAAAATTATTTATTTTTCTGCTTTTACCGCATCATTTGATATTTAAAATAGCTCTTAAGTGTGAACCGACGTTTATCTGCGAAAATCACCATCGACTACTTCTGAAAATCCCTATGATGACGCTACCTACAACACTGCAATCTAGCCTGATCACATAATGATAGAAAAACTTATCTGACTGACTCATACATATAACCCAACAGAATTCAGTCAACGGGATATGATTCGAGCAGATACTTTGGTGCCTGTAGCGCTTATAATATCTGTGACAATTGTACAGATAGGATTTCCCTGTTTTGTTTTGTTAAATCAAAAATGTACTTATCATATCTTGTTGTTGTTCTCCTTTTGGAACCACCATCATACTTACGTAGCTGTATGTATTGTATTTCTCTAAATTTGGCAACTTTTTTCAATTACGAAATGACACCCATTGTTATCGCAACTTCAGCAGCACTTTATTCCACCTCCAGGCGTCTAATGATCATATTTACGCTAATGATGTCGTGGACGGATTTTACAACTTACGTTCGCTGCAAATGGCCCTATACCTTAGTTAAATATGCGTTACAATCTCTTATCACATAAGCCAGGTTCTTACCATAATGGTTCTCAGCAGCTTGTTTCAAAATAACAGAACGTGGTATGCATTTTCTTTCTGCCAGATGATAAAATTTTTGTAGCAACCTTTGTTCCCCGCTTTTCCTTCGTCTGCATGCTTTCTGGGAGATGCGACTAAAAAAAAATAATAAATTGTTCCTTAGCAGCTGTAGTTAGTGTGTATGGAATTAGATTGGAATTCAGGCAATTCAAACTCAAAATTTTATAAATTTAGACAGGAAGTATTTGAATATTTTCTGGTAACACTGATTATGACCAGAGCACCTAAGAAACAGAATACGTAATATAATTCATACAATATAATGCGCAAAGATGAAAACGTGTTTTCATAAAACTTAAGTAAGGTTTGTAAATTAAAGTCTCTATTATCTATAAATTAAATAAAGTCAACATTTTATGAAGGAACTGGACAATGCAATGAAAATAATAGCATAAGAAGGCTTGCTGAGAGCCAACAATATTATTGTGTGCCTGAAAGGAATACATTATTTTAATTATTCAGTTTTGGCGAAATATATGAAGGCTATCTGTTTTAAAATGGTTGTACTCGGAAAATACTTTTTAAAAGATACTGCTTCGTAATAATGTTAGATTCGGAAAAACCTTCGTAAACGCCTGTGTAACTCAACCAGCGGGAAATCAAGTGCTGGGTGAAACTACCAAATTATAAAGTTAGACCAATTTCAAATTGAAATTGCCATTACATTTATAGGAAAGCTATATGTATGTGAGTAGCAGGAGCGCGACAACTCAACACAACTAACGGCATTGCAGTGAGATGAAGGATGGACGAGGGAAGTGAAAGATAACAGTCATGTTTTCGACTAAGACGTATTAATAGATGGCGAAGCTGTTAAATTCTCAATTATAACTCTTTTATCATTTGTAAATACTCATCACTGTATCTCCATCAATAACTAAATAAATACTTAGTCACCTAAATGTGTGTCGTCAGCCTAGAAATCCCCTAGACGCCGAGTTTACATGTATTTCAAGAGTATCTGAACCAAGTCTTTCTTCAAGCAATAAAATTACTTTACCAATCTAACAGAAATTAAATAGGAAGAGAAACACTCAAAAGTAAAATTTGAAATTAGGCAAAAAAGCAACTTTATGTTGGCTTAGATTTTGAATAAAACTCTATCGCTAGCGCAAACTTTGAATAATCCTCTTCTTCAAGAGCAAATGTTGCATTTTGCAAGAACATGCTTAATTCTGAAAAAGAAGGGCCTATACTCTCGAAATTGACTGCATTCTATTGAAAATACTACAAAAGTTACTTTTATAAACTACACCAACCAAAGTTGTAGAAAATTTCAGGTTTATTTCGTGGTAAGAAACATAAAAAATGGGTAACGCTCTGGCCGAGATTCCAGTTCCGGACCTTCCAGTGCTAGCCAAACGGGCTGACAATTACACCATGATGACACACCGTAAAGAATGAGAAAACTTTCTTACATTCTTTCCCACTTATACCATATGGCGAAAATCATCATTCACCATATTCAGGCGTTACCTGCACAGAATTTAAGGTTTATTTCAGAGAAAGAACACATGGAAAATTAGCAATGTCCTTGTTAGATTTCATATTCCGGACCTTCCCAGGAAGGCGCGAGGTAAAGAAGAAGAAAAATCCCTTACAAAGGTTACTGTTTTAAACTAGTTTAAATTAGCAGGCTATAGTTGTTCTAAACACGCAAACAGCCAGTAACTAGTGGACATCCGAAATCGATTTGCTTAAAACTGTTTTTCCATTGCATACCCAGAATAAGGAAATTCTTTATCTCGACTAAAACTAAAATGATTCGGTTAGGAATTCTTATCTTAACCTAATTAAATTGGATTTCATCCTTTTATATTCTGTATTTATTTATTATTTTTATAACTCGGGCCTTATATTCTAACCACTTTCCCTCAGGTCATGCTCAGGTAATTTTTTACTCCTTTCCCACCACCTCCAAAATAAAATGATACATTCTAAACAGTTGGATGGAGGTATTGAATGAAGCCGAACTATGATTTTGCATTCTTCTATAAAAATTTAAGTTTGCAGAACGTATAGAACCCTGATCTTCATTTTACTTTAACAATGAAGCATACTTTAATGGCATACTTTAACAATGAAGCTACAGAAGCCTATCTGTTTCATTTATTTCATTTATTGTTGTCTTCTTGTAAATATTTCATTGTCCTTACATTTCTCTTCTAGCCTCATGCTACAAGAACACGGGTTCCCTTCCTTCTAATTCTTACGATTCTCTTTAGTTGGGTGCCACTTTCGAATTTCAAATGGAATTCTCATTTACTGTCGTCATCAGGTATTTACAGCCGAGTTACTATCAAAGACGAGTTTCTCCTGTCAAGTCGCGTGCCCCAGTGGTTCCATTACATGAGAATTACATGCTTCGCACCATCAATCTAAAACAGATTTTCAGCGTAATAAACCTGTGTATCTCACTGCATTTATATTGTACTTCTTAAACGTACATCATCTTTACGAGCCCCTTTCCCTAAACAAATCCTGCACAAAAGCATATCTTCCCTTAAGTACATAGCCATCCATATTTTGCCATATTCGATTAAAAAATCGAAATACGTTGCTGTGAAATGTAAATAGGGCAAAGAAAACGTTTGATTTTAGTACGATCATTGGACATTAATGTTTTTTTCTTCTCGTTTTTTCCATCAAATTCTATCGCTAATAAATGCATACCGGGCAACTTTTATCTTTAAAGCTTCAAGAATTATTTTAGACAGCTACTTCTTTAAGTTCAGTTTCATTACAATCGGAAAAAATTTCAGAAATTATTAAGTTGATGTTCATAATGCATGCATAAGTGGCTTTATTACTCTTACCTTAGCACATATAAATGTCAGCATTGAGTTTAAACTTCAGTAAAATTATTTATATTTACATTTATTTATTTATTTATTTTGCATTTGTTTCATAAAAACTAGCAATTTTTAAATACCTAATGTTATATATTTTCATACGTCAACTAAACAATAACTTTCAACTAATGATGTTCTTGACAGAGTACATACGTAGCGAATACTGTCGATTAAGAAACAGTTTCTGAATCCCCGGACACTCAAAGTAGGAGACCAATGACCATTTAGCGGAATATCCTTGTAGAGACATTAGGTAATTTTTGGAAGCAGGAGAGATGAAAAATGAGCAACACCCTCGCCGAGAATCGAACCATGAACCTCTGGAATACGCGCCCAGCGTGCAGACCACCACACTACGAAGGCATGCTAAGGTGGCGGGAGATTTACCTTATATCCTTATAAAGAATAAAAACCTTGGTTCCATGAACGTCCGCAGACTAAAATTTCGACTGTAGTTCGACCGAGTTATGGATTTCATCAAATTTTATCGATAAATTTTATGAATGACATTAAATGAGACATCTTTGGTTACATATAATTCTTTCGCAACGAATTTTGTTTCATTTTCAGTGTCCAGTTCAGCTTTTTGAGAAATTATGCGAATTTGTCCGAACATGCACATTCAAAAACAGGAAAATGTTCGAAATAAAAGTGAGCCTGAAATGCCAAATTGCAGTTTTATAAAAACCGGAAATAACCGAACGAACAATAAATCGAGATAGACAGAGACCAGGCGTTTACAAAGATCAGTGATGTAAACATTAGGTAGTTTTTTTTTCTGCATCATATCATTCTGAACGTCATCAAATTGATTTGAAACAATAGCAGCCATATTATTTTAACATTACGTTCTAATGATAAAAAACTCCATTGTTCTTCCATTTTAAATTGTTATTTTGTGCGGGTTTCAGATAGTAAAGTAATTATTGTTATAAAAGAAAATGTTAAATTACAGCCTATTGAGTATTATATTCATCTGCTTCTAGACTTCCGTTGCTGTCAGTACAGAGAGAAGAATAAAGTAACATCGCGTTCTCAAAACAAAAAATAATTACCTTCCACACTTGTGGAATTTCACATTAGTCATCCGTGGTAATTGTTTTTAAACAACTCTAAAACTGACATCCATAACCAGATACAGAAAGCATGTAGTTGCCATAAAAATACAATTTTAAAATTTGGAAGTTTTAAAATTCTTATCCGGAAGTAAAATCTTCCTCAAGGGAAAAGTCACCACAGAAAATTTTTAAGGCAAAGTGATAAGTATTTCGTGTTAAATATTTAACAAACCAAGGTCACTTACTATATACTGCAAGGTTTGTTCTTCTTCGACCAAGACCAACCAGTAGAAAGATACCTCACTGTCAAGCGTTGGAAAGAGAAAGGTTTGTCCTCTGAAAGAGCATAAACTCGTGTGTTTACTGACCTTGAAATTAACTGCGAAAGCCTCAAGCAACAAATCCGTTCAGTCGGGGACTCGAAGTGGGAAAGGTTAATTTAAAAGCCAAACAACAAAAATCAGCGTTATATTTGCAAATTTTCACAGGAATAATTTCGATGGTTTTACCGAACCATCACCCCCAGCTGCCAAAGTGCAGATGGTTGTTTATCCTCCTGCCTAATGCCGAGCTGTTCAGTTGTTTGAGGTAGTTGCTAGTGTTTGACTATCTATAGAATGTCTCTCTCTCTCTCTCTCTCTCCTATAGTTATAATCTGGATATGACAAAAATACCAAACTAGTTCCTATTTCTCCAGATCGAGAGACGATTTTGCAAGTACTTTATAGCATAAGCCATGAAAATCCTTGAAAAATGCATGAGACAGTTCTACTCTATTACGTATTTTAATTTGTTACGTAATAAATTTGTTACTATCAGATCTAAAAAAAAAAGAGAAACAATTTCATTGTGAGGATCAAATAAAAAATGTATTATAAAAAATTCATATTCAGTTTTCAGAATATAAGTTTTTTACGAAGAAATCATCATTGCTAAATATTCATGTTTCCTTAAAAATCCTGATAAAGATTTAAGAAATGTCATACAAAGTGCTCAATCCACTTTTGTTTCTTCAACTCTGTAAAGAAGACCTTAAGAAATGCTATCATTTTTCCCTTTCAAGCTGACTCTTTAATGTTGGTTTGGCTTGGTTTGGTTTATTAAGATTACGGCAAAGCACACTACATTTTAATTTTGGAAAAGATTTGATAATTTTTAATCCCTTTGTTTTCTCAAGTTTCACTCTATTCCTTTACTAGCGCTATTGCTCGTAGTTTATTAGAATTAAATATTTTACTTTGTATAATTTTAATTTTTGTTTTACCGATTAATTTGTGATCATACGTATATGCAAACTTACAGGAAGATTGTAAACAGAAAATATGTTTACAACCCAATTTTAATCCTCCCTAAGAACCCAAAATTAAAATGCTAAATTATTAAATTATTTCTCTCATCTGAAGTATTATTTGAAAATTGTAATAAATATGTAATAAAATACATACGCCTAAGTTTTTAAACCTTTTGACTAAAATGAAGTATTTATAATGAAGTTAGTAAGATTCCTTCATTATGGAATATATGATCCCCTTTAAAAAAAACTTCAGTTTTTAGTTCATTCAAACACTATTTACTTATTGTCGTTAAACATGTTATAGAATTCATAATCATGATATAGAATCATAGCATATAATCATGTTTAATTATCATATTTAATCATATTAATAATCATATTTAATCATATTAATATATCATATTTCATTACAATCATATTAATATATCGTTTATAATTTATTATAGAATATAAATCATGATATAGAATTCAGATGAAGACTTTTAATCGCCTTAGGTTTTCACAGCATTATTTCGCTTATCCTTTGGAACGAAATCTTAAATCCTTGACAACATGTTCTTAAACTTTGATAAGAAGCATATTAAAAGCACTAAGTAGTGGAGAGATAAAAGAATTTTTCAATAGATAAGGTTTCTTTTCGTTCCTAAACACTCGAACACATTACGGTGAAATTGTCTTTCACTTATCACTTTCACTAGCCTCCCAGGCAAGTTCTTCTAAGGGAACTTTAAAATACTGTCTCCAGTTACATTTTTCTAGCTTTCAAAGATTTTAATTTATTATTATAAGCTGTTTTTATATTTTGATACTCAAAACATTTGTTCTTATATCGTAATATATGTGGGAGAAGCGAGCAAGGCGTGACTGTGTATTTGGGTACATTGTATAAAAGATTTGAGAAAATGCATCCCAATAAATCTTCTTAGTGATAACAGTTTCAGAAAACTTATTAAAAAATTAATTTAGCTCATATGACGAGGAAATACAGCTTACAGAAAAGGACCTTTCATACAAAAGTACTTTCGAAACTAGTAACACATATCAGTAATTTATAAGCAGACATTATCTCACATCAAAAAAAAGTAAAGCTACATCACTGATTAAAAGAAAGAGCTTTGATGCAATATACAAATCATGTTTGTGATAAAATAATTATAAGCTTAACTAAGAAAATAATTCTACTGTATTTAGAGTTAAAAACTATGCCTTTCTACGTCATTTAAGTTTTAAAGTTTTTAGTTTGTGGAATTCTCACTTGTGTATTTCTCGGTTACTGTAGAAAGTGAAGAATCTTAAGAACTGTTAAGCGAATAATCGCTTGAGTTCGTGTGACAAGAAACAATAAAATGAAAGAGTAAATAACCCTTTATTATTCAAGTAAGATTTAACAGAACTTCGTCTTAGAGTGTACAGTAAAAGCCGACACTTGGGCTTGAACTTAAGAGACTAAGAAGTAAACTAAAACTAATTTAAACTAAGGGGGGGGAGATATAGCCGAAGCTATCAAGAATCTAACAGAGTTGTCCCTTTCACTCTAATGACTGCAAAGCTATCAAGGGCCTGAGTACGGCCCAGCGTAATAACAGCTTTGAGAGAGAGTAGCCAAAAAGGCAGGCGCGCGCAAATGAGAAACTCTGATTCTCTCTAACTCAGCAAGTAGAACTTCTCGGTTAAATACCGCTCTTCCTCATTATGTATTCAGAGTGATTCTAAAACTAAGTTCTGGCCGGAAGTAGTAAGTTGAAGTTAAGAATTTGACAGGAAATTAACTTTAACTTAATAGTTAACTGTTAATAAAATTAACATAATCCTTACAAGTTGCTTAATTAATTAAAGCAAAGCTTCCGAGACTCTCTGTCTAAGAAGAGATACTTTCATGAGAAATTGCATAAGAAAACTTGACTGTTCTTTGAGAAACATTCCGGAAATCCCACACTGTCAGCCTATCCAATCAATGGGAATTGAATCCAAAAAGAAAACCATTTAGTCGCTCCATCGCCGTTGGGTTTTTTTTTTTTTTAAAGGTTTTTAATTCAACTGAAGTTTAAAATTCACTCCATTTTTATGTCGATAATCACTGAAATCATTCCAGGAAATGCTTCAAAATGGGAAATAACTAAAAAATAAGAAAAATGTCCTATTCCAATACTAAACTATATATTAAAATAAACAGTTTAAGTAAAAGCATTTTTTTAGGGGGGAGGATCTCCTTTAGAATGAAATGCATTACATACTCAAAATGATTCAGAAATGAGTAAACAGTTAACAAATGTTGCATTTCGATGAATTTGCAACGTATAATAATGCAGTTAGAACAAAAATGTGTAGAGATATCTGGTTTTCTTTGAAGTAAGAAAAAACAAAATGTGCGATGCCTTCGCCTGGATTCGAACATCGAACCTGCCATCCAGATAGGCTATCCAATTACACCACGAAGGCACGCCGCAAGAAGGAGAAAATACCTTATAAGTAATTTAAATCATGGTTTTTATGTAAGGGTTTTTATCACGCAAATGATTTAATTATAATTGTGTACGATAGTTGGTTCTACCTAAAAGAACAAAAAATATATCCTAATAAATGCTAATCGTGCCAGCTTTCATTACTAAGCATTGCTTAAAAACGAATTGAGACGCATAGAGGACACTAAATGTTCTAAATATATTTCCGAATGTAGGTAACCCCATAATCAAAAATCATACCATTCAGACACAATTTTTGATCCCCAGACTTGAATGGTCCAGCGATTTCACTGATCACTCATCTTGAAATGACGGCTTAAACTCGATTTTCGCTAAACGTTGACAGTAAGAGCTGTTCTTTGTAGAAGCAACATAGAATGATGCTCCAACCTGCACGCTTATAACATAATCTAATGTTTGTTCTGTTCCATTTAGGAAGCTAATCTATCGCGAATAAATGGACACTAGTCTGTTAAAAGAACCATTTTCAGTAATAATGATCAGCTAGACCCATATATTTAGAATTCTAAGTTTCGGTGCCACCCATTATATAAATAGAGCAAAATATTTACGTAACAACATTATTAAAAAGTCCATCTTGTGGATTCACTGAAATGAAAATTTCAAAATGTTTACTAAATTTTTCTTTTTGTGATATACAGGGAGTGAAATATAAGTTTTCTTTTGAAAGCAGGAAAAAAAGACATTTAAAAATATTCATCATGAATTTTAACAAGAGTAATCATATCATTAAATAATTTTTCTTTTCTGTACGAAAAGCAAACTTAAGTCTGCATAAACTATTTCATCTTACTGCAGCTTTACGTGCGTTAAAAAGTCGGTTAGATTTACAATTTTGACGGTACTTTTTAACGTACTGTAATGTCTGCTTACTTTGTCTGCAGCATTCTTTGCGGTACCATAAGATAATCATATCTGAATGGAAAATTTGAATGGAAGATTGGAAGATTGCAGCCGTTTGATTGGAAATAGCATTATTGTGATTGCATATTCGTTTCATTGTCAATTAAAATGGAAGGTCGTCCATTCTACCTGTTAGAAATTTGCCTTCTCTTTCGAAAAACGTGGTACAAATTCAAAGATTTTTATTTTATCAGGCAGCGAAATATTCAGTATTGCTCATAAATTGCCTCCGAAACTTTCTTATGTAATCAATGAGCGAAATTTAATTCGATTAAATACTAATAACGGCCTTGAGGAAAAAGTGTGGCACATTATACTGAATGATAATGGCCTAACTAGAGCAATGAACGCTTTAAAAATCTAGAATTTTTAAGCTGTTTAGTACTATTATTTGACAGCTGAAATTAAAACTTAAATAGAAGTTTAAAAGGTGTGCTCATAAGGAAGGACTGACATCTTTTTATGAATCTGTAGAAATTTGTAGTTGCTGAAAAGTGTTCATAAAGAGTTAATTTTGCTGGACTTTCAGCCAGACTCCTTAATTTTTTTTCTAACTACAGTGTTGTATAAACCTGTAATGCGATAGATGATTACTCGTTAAAAAGTACCGTTGAAATTACTGCTACTGA